ATAGAAATACATCTAACAAAAAAACAGAGTAGACGTGACTAACACATCCTTAAAAAAAAAAAAAAAAACAAAACAAAAATTAGAAACTAAGTACAGATTTTAGAGTACTCGCAGTTACTGACAGCTAGTTCAAAGCCAAAAACAACTAATGAACAAACAACCATGTATCTTAGTCTTAAATATGAACAGTATGCATCCAAACACGGTTTTGGTTTAAAGACGTCATTAACAGTCAGAGAAAAACATGGCCTTGTGCATTGCCAAACTATAGATATCGACATATTGTAGTACCGTGATAGTCCATATGTGTAATATTAAGTTTGTTTTAATTCACTAATAACAAAATCAATAATTATACCAATAAAAACAAAATTTAAAGATTTAATTAGAGTGCTGTATAGGTAACATTTTAGCTTAAGTTTATTTAAACAATGTTAGATGATTGATAAGTTTACCCGGATCGTATCTAAATTTCTAGGCCCGGTTTACAACATCATCGTAAAATTTAGGATGTGCTATTCCGTTTGAAATAAGTTTTCTACAGGTACAGTCTAACTTGCAGATAAAATCTTTGTATCTATGAAATAATTTAGTAAAGGTTTTAAGTAATTTGTGGTAACGAAATCCCTGACTTAATAATTTACTAGTACTAAATACTAGTACATGAAATAGAATACACTCATTAAAATCCAAAACGTCACTACAGACGCGAGCATAGCGAACGAGTTGGGATATATAAACACCGTAAGTCGATGCTTAATGAACATCACCTTCCGAAAAGGGAAAACTAACAATCGAGAAAGAAAAAGCATCCCTTTTGTCGTAAACTTTTGTTTTGATTTTCTGGTGTAATAATGCAATATTTTAATCTGGGAAGAACAGTTATTGCTGTTGATATTGAAAATAAGTTCCTTTGAGTAATTTCAGCAGTATAGTTAGAGGTTTCTTAATTTTTTAACGAAGAATTATCATTAAGATAACGGTAAGAGTCGTTGATTTATCAGTTAAAAGGAATTTAAATTGTTCTTTAATAAGTTTGGCCATAAACTTTGATCAGAACAGTAAAGGAACAAGTCTGCTATGAAAGAGACACAAGTGGTGCCCATAGAAATATAATACCTACAATCTGTTGACAAACTTTACTGCCGAACGTACATAAATAATGTCATGGAGAAAATGTGGTGCTTTATTGATCTTATCACACCTTCAATAAGAAATCAAGCATATTTACCTTTGTCATTATAGAAAAGGGCTTTATATGAGTTGCACCAAAAACAAAAATGCAAACCAGATTTATCAAACGACCATCTAATTCGGTAGGAAAAAATGTTGTTTGATATGATTGTGTGGAAGTGTAGAATACAGAGAGGGAAAGTCAAAACTATCAACTTAATTAAAGGACCATCAAATACACGTTATTTATCTAAAATATCCAAAAAATTATTTACACTTCTGAAATGGTTAGTTCCACTGTTCGCATATGTTTTATTACAAATATTAGTGATAAGTTCTTTGGCAGTAGTTAAGGAACTCGTTAAATGCACCGAAAGATTAGTACATGTAGTAAAACTTACTAGAGGCCGAGATGAAACGATATTTTTGTGTAGTTTAGGTAAACAATAAATAGTTGAGACCTTCAAATGTTCCGAGGAGGCCTTAAGCTGAGATGTGATAGGCGACATGATTATTAGGACAACTTGACGGGAAATCCATCTACAAAAAAAACAGCAAACTTCTATGATGAATGTAATAATTAAAAAAAAAGACAGGACAAATATCGACTTAGAGAAGTTTTGGGCGCAGAATTACTTGTCATTTGAAAACCTGACGAGAAGACAACAGGAAACAATGAATTTAAATATTTAAATCAGAAGACATGTATAGGTTACCATGACAACAGCTATTTAGCTACTTTAACCCAGAATAAAGATCACTCGCCTTTACTGGTAACAAAGAGATTGCAAAGAGGAAAAAAGAAAAGGTAAACAAAAGACTGAAAATGGAAATGCAACAATTATATCTTCTAGAACGGACATCTTATAAAGCATATAATGTGATGAAATGTTACCAGCAAAGACCGCATAAAAAAAGATAAAAATGTGGACCAAAAAAGACCATCAAACGTGATGACTATGAACTACATTTGCATTTATCAGAATTGTATGGACTGTTAATGGTGTTTAATGATTAATCGTGCTTTGAAACAGACTGAGAAATAATTTTATTTTATTCGTGTTCATCATGAAAGACATGACAGATGTTTAAAGTTTTCTATTTATCAGAGTGATTCAACGTGAAGTTTTATATTCATAAGAGAAAACAATTCGAAGTGAAACTTTCATAATTTTATTTTCATTGTAATGTAATTTAATTAATTTGCGCGCCCCAAGAATGTTCCGGAGTGCACACATCAGTATGAGATGTTAGCGCCACCGCTATTTGTGTAGGAGACGTCACTGCTGTTGTAACGTAAAATACTACTTCGTAGTTTCATTACATGTATCATTGTAAGCAGACGTTTTTATCACTCAATTGAATTTTTGGAATGTTGGTCCTCTTTATACTTTTTTTTTACTTTCTAACTATTTTGATATGAGCGTCACTTATGAGTCTTATGTAGACGAAACGCGTGTCTGGGGTATCAAATTATAAGCCTGGTACCTTTGATAACTAATTAGCATTAATTTGTGTCCGATACAACCACTCTACCATAATATAAATAGTTTTTGTTAAAGAAAGAAAAACGGTTAACATTGAGATTTCTGTCTCTTCATTTTCATGTTACTACATCGAATAAGCAACTAACGGTGAATCAATTAATTCTTTCCGACAGTTCAAGGGATTACCGGCCAGTCAAGGTCGTTAACACCGTCAATTAGTTATTTTATACTGATGACTCTCAACATGGCATCGCAGGTTGTTTTCGAAATAGTTTCTATTGGTGAGCTGACATTTGACATATTTGTAGCCTATCAATGGATTAAGCAACGAAATAGTCTTTGGGTTTGAATTTTGAAACACTGTTTGCGACCATAAACATTGGATCATTTTTTTTCATAGTTTATTTTATTGCTTTTTATTGAAGCACTTGCTATGGCAGTACGACAAAAAATAGTAACATCTTCATTATAATCAGCAAAAGGGCTATCAAAGAACTCATGCGTTGTATCGGCAATATGTTTGATTTTGTCATGCTCCCTTTATTCTTTTGTCCTTTCAGCAATTAGATTAAAGGAGGCGTCAACCGAATGTAACTCACAATTTTGATCATCTTTTGGGCACGTAAAATATTTAAGTTATGTTAAATATGGTCTCGTTCGTATTTCATATTGAAATATGAAACATCATCACAAGTAACTTTTCCCGACTAACTTAAAATGCGATTTGAATTAAAAAAATCATAATATCCTTTTTTGTTGTTCTAATGCCTGGATTGCTACTTCTGCTGGTGGACTGTTATTCCATCAAAATAGCTCAGAATTTTGGGAATGGCATATTGATATTGAATATAAGCTCTTTCACGTTTGTCAAGTTTTTGTCGTGTCGTGGCCTTGATCATTAAGGAAGAAACATTTATTGTCGAAATATGACTCTGGTAGCATTGGTAGTACTTATGCTGATTTCCGATACCATTCGTCATAAAAGAATATTTTGTCTTAATCATGTTAATGAATTATGAAGCAAGCTGTTTAATCAGCTGCAGTTATATATTGTATGCTTAGTCTAACATGTCTGTGAAGTACTTTTTAAATAGATTGTTATGTATCGTTCGTCTTTGTTCTTCTTCCAATGTCCTTCTCGAATTTTAGGCGTTTTTTTTCATAATCATTTCCACTTTTTCAAAATTTTATGTTTGAAAACCCTAAATAATTTCCTTATTAGGTGTGCGAATTGAGAGACGAGAATTCGTTTTTTTTGTTACTAGATTTTAAAAAGTCATTAAAATCATTCCACAAACATTTTCATATATTTTTTTAATAATGGCAATTGGAATATTCAAATGAAAAATCAGAAAGTTTTTTTCATAATGAAATGAGACGAATTTGAACTATCTTTTGTCATACAAAAGTCACAAGAAGTCTGATTCAAATAAATAAAGAAACAAGTGTACAAGGAGAGGGGGTACAATTTGTTCCTATAAAATGTAGATTGTTGATGAAAAAACGTCCTCCAAACGTTACAAATATTTTGTCAATAACAAAATAAGCATCTTGATAATGTCAATGTCAGATGATGATGATTGGTTGATTTAATTCCAACGGGAATTTAAACAATATTCAGAACGAGAACACTTTAATGCGATATGATAATCAACTCTGTTTTGGTTTAAGTCTACATTCTGAGTCGTAGTCTAAACGTTTTGGTTAACAAGGTAACTGTTAGCACATAGACTCGCCGTCACCCTCACCGGACACATTATTCAGTCTCCTGGACGACCATTCTCTTTTTTCTTTTGAACCGAGTACTGCAGCACTGAAGCGGCAAATACCAATTCTTTGGTATACATCAGCCATTGTTCGAACCCACGACCTCCCGCACTCGAGGCGAACATGCGAGCACGACTATAATACAAGTGTGAGGTTAAGCTAGCTATAAAACCAAATTTTTTCCACCATTTTTTAGACAACAAAATGTCTATACCAAGTCATAAATATAACAGTTGTTTTCAATCCGTTTGAAGTGTACGAGCTTTTGATTCTGCCATTTGGTAAGGAACTCTCCGTTACCTTTGAGTTCGGTAATTTTGCTATTTTGTACTTGAAGCTACTACAACAACATCAAGATGATTGTCAGTGTCAGTGTAAACGATGAATAGATATGCAAACGTATTAGGGAAAATTAAGAAACGGAAAAAGATTACAGAATTGATCCTCATCACTTTACGAGTTATTTAATCAGCCATTTGTTTTAAAAATTACTTAGATAGGCAGTACATTTATATCATTAGTATTAATATGACAATATACTATAATCTGTGAGGTTTTTAATATTAATTGTAGAAACAATTAAAAGCCAGTTGCGACATGGAATGACAGATGGAAGTAAGGACGATGAACTACAAGACACACTTATACTACTAGAAGAACAGTTTGTAAGTGTTTTATGTATTCTAAACAAGAATGTGTCCATAGTACACGGATACCACACTCGCATTATCATTTTCTATGATCATTGGACCGCGAAATTGGGGTAAAAACTCTGATTGCCGTTCAAATATGAAAGATTATATCATAGGGAACATGTACTAAGTTTCAAGTTGATTGGACTTCAACTTCATCAAAAACTACCTTGATCAAAAGATTTAACCTGAAGCGGGCACTTTCATTTTCTGGCGTAAGTGGTCCGTGAAATTTGGATATAAACTCTAAGTAGGCATTAAAATTAGAAAGATCATATCATAGGGAACATGTGAAGTAAGTTTTAAGTTGATTGAAATTCAACTAGTACTTCGTCAAAAACTACCTTGACCAAAAACTTTAACCTGTAGCAGGCACTATCATATTCTATGGTAAATGGTCCGTGTAATTTGGATAACAACTCTAATCAGGCATTAACATTAGAAAGATCATATCATAGGGAACATGTGTAGTAAGTTTTAAGTTGATAGGACTTCAACTAGTACTTCATCAAAAACTACCTTGACCAAAAACTTTAAACTGAAGCAGGACAAAATTAGAACGGACGGACGCACAGACAGAAATACACAATACCCCTAGGTTGGGCATACTAAATCGTAAACTAATATCAAAATTATACAATGTAAAAAATCAGTAATGGATTTAAAATCCTTTGCATTTCGGACAATTCAAATTTAAAAAGTAAACGTTAGAATACGAATAAAGGAGAAGTACTTAGATTTCATGCCAACGACTTTATACCTTTATCCACATAAAAAGTAATATGATTTTACATTAGCTGGTTTTCTATTGAAACAGAAACTGTTTAATGGATAAGTCAAAAGCAAAATCATATATATTTTTTACATGAATACACATTTTTTTTCAGGATTCAAATGATATGATTTGCCTACCTTGTAAAATCCAGTTCAAATCTACACTGACAACCGAATTGGGTCTGGATTGTACAGAGGCTTGTGGTCAACCATGTATAAACGATTATTCGTCAATAACAATAGATGATGCACATAATTTTTTTGACATAAAGGAACTTCCAAAAAATTATGACATTCCATTCTTATGCAGTACACATGAATTGAAATTGGAATGTGTTTGTGTCTCACATAATGACGTCTGCTGCAATTCATGTGCAGTTGAAATGCATTCCGAATGTGATGTTGAAGCATTACGTGAGAAAGATATGTATCGTTTTGGAATTTCACAGACGGTTGCTGAATATAATGAACGGATATGTGCAGTGTTGCACACTTCGAAAAATATCATACAAAGCTTTCGCTGTAATATTCAATATATTATAAATGACCGGAGACAAATACAATGGCAGTTACAAAATCTTTACGAAAATACAATACGTGGTTGTAAGTCCAGTCCAAACACCAAAAAAGCAATTGATAATGATAAATCAAAATTGATGCTGAAATTAAAGGACAAAACCGAAGAACTCATTTCAAATATAAAGCGGAAAATATCTGAATTAGAAGAAGTCCTTCATACTTCAATTAAACATGATGAATTATTGAATTTCAAATTTGAAAATCGATGCGAAAAGCATTCGTTCCTTTTAATTCAATATTTAGACTCTCTCTTAAGAGACAGTGAACGAAAATTAGAAACAATAATTGAAAGAAAAAGCACCATTCGTTTAAATTATGAAAAATATGAAAAAGATCCAATCAAAAGTCTTGGACATATATATACAATAAAAACATACGAAAGAGTACCACACTCTGAAAAACAATATACGTGAATAGCAAATTTAAATTACGGAACCTATTTCCAAAAAAATATAATGTTTAAACTCGTCTACTGTACAAGAAATTCCATCCATGCTCATCAGTGGTATTACAATTTTAGCAAGTGGATTAACAATTCTCTGCGATAGTGGCGAATCCCTCATCATTGTGTTGATTGACACTGGTTAAAGGCAAACACCTGTTTATGTCGGACTTTCAAGCATGGGAAATTAATGCTATTCCATATACAGTCATTTTATGTTATCAATTGTACATAGTTTGATTTTATTATTGTTTCCTTGGTACTTATTTCCGATGTAATAATGTAATAGTTATTGACCAAGAAATTCTGTATATATCATTTAATCTGAAAGGCTAGGGTGACCCTAATTAACCCAAACGACGTAGGAGTTGTGTTAAAGGGTCATACCGACCGCGCAGATTAAATGATATATACCGATTTGATTAGTCCAATAACTGTTTTAACACATGACGTCATCAATTTACGTCAACATTTTGTATATATGCGGACGATATCTAGCAATCCACAGCTCCTAGGAAAGTATTGTAGGGCAAAGAAAGGGGTTATACGCTTTTATGTAGTTAAAGGATGGTAAGTATTAAATTATAAACTTTTTTTTGTATTTAGGCTTTTTCCTAAATTGTTACATTATAGACGAGTGACATTAACTATAAAATTCTATTTTTAATGCACCCACCTAACATACGGCTACATCATATACCATTCGAAAGCACATCATCTGTACTATCTTTTTTGCCCGGTCGTCAAATATTCGTATGGTGCAGTTTCCGTCAAATCACGATGAAAGGTCAAGGACAGACAATTTCTAATTTTACAAGATGTCAGCAATTTTGCATATTCTGTCTTCTGAATAATAATATTTTGTATGGAAATATACAAAATCTGTTAGAACAGATGTTAATAGTTATTTATCAAAAGCACATTGAAATATCAATGTCGGAGTTATAATAAATAGCGTCGTTTTCCAGAATTCCAGTGAAAATGATAAAAATGCATGAAAACCAAAATGTTTGTCTGTGTTTCAATTGTTATTCACCATGTTACCAAATAACATATTTTATTTGGTGCTAAGGATGCTTTTGACACCATAAAATTACAGCAATTACGCTTCCTGTTCATTAAACAGCCAATAATAGCAACACATGCAGTTTCCCAAAATACCGCCATCTGCAAAAAGATAGCTTTTCTAGCTCTTCTATGTTAACACAAATTATATGTAGTCAATATTAGGTTGAAAAAAAACACAATCTTAAAAGTGCAAAAGGGTTAAAGGATATAATACACAGGAAATTCGTGTTTTAAGGGGAAGGTTTGGAAACGAAACTTTGATATTTCAATATTTATATGTTTTCTTGGTTGCTTATACTGCATGGTGCACTGAGGAAGTGAAGACTATTATAAGCTAGCCACTGAAAATGTTCTTCATGCCTGGCCGATATATTTAATGCTATCAAACTACGTACTTTCTTGTAAATAAATTGAGACATGTTGCCATTATATTTATTTACACTAATTTTTTATTTGGAAATTCTAGCAATTCGCAATAACAATACTTACACTTCCTGAATAGTTAACATATCAGTACATTGTAATATAAAGATGTAGATCATCTGTTAAGCATTTATTGATCATTTGTATATTAAAGATAGTACATGTACATTAAGAATATATATATGGTTAAAATGAAGTTATCTTATTCGAAAATATTTATGCAATTGTGAGAAATGAAAATCGTGGTTGAATTTATCCAGTTTTTTAATTGATTTATGTCATCTAAACTCAAATATTTATTTTGCATTAAGCTCTCTGTTGTTGATCTGACGGCGACTTTTGGCGATATTCTCACTTTATTTTCATATTATTTTCGTTCGGTTTCTAATGGCGCGAAGATCTCACAACAATAATAAGTGATATTATATAGTTGACACATACAAAATGGTATATATAAGTGTAAAAAACATAGGTTAAAACAATCTGACTCAAATTCAGATATATTACGAATTGCCTGCTCATATATCGTATGGGGATAACGAAATCAGAGATCTACATTTTAATTAGATTAGGGTTAACTTTGTGAGATAGCTTAAAAGCAGGTATGTTATGGTAAATTTGAAGTGCTTACTATTATTAACTCTATTTTTATATGTGTATTATGTATCATGAACAAACTCCATATGTGCACTTTTAAACTTTGAACTTCACTAAAATCTACCAAGCAGTGTAGGAGGAATATTGCTCATTACAAAGTTGTTTTAGACTAACTGAAGGATATATGAATGGAAAGAACAAAGAAAACAGGATAGAGAGAGAGAGAGAGAGAGAGATTTGAGCTTTTTGTTTTGTATTTAAATAAGGAACTTTCCGTTTTGAATTTTCCTTGGAGTTCGGTATTTTTGATGTTTTACTTTTTTTATATCTTGCATTGATATCTGAGTTTTACGTTCTGTTGTCTTTTATTCGCTCAGCTTTGAAACATCTGGTTTTCTTTTCTTTGTTTGAAAGAAAGAAAAAAATGACAAGAGACAATCTCAAACCATAGTCGAAGAAAAACAGATGACAGCATGACCAAGGCGAAAAAATAGGACAGACAAACAATACTCATTAAAACACTTCACCGAACTGTGCGAACACTACCTAAACCCGATGGTGATCGCAGCTGCCCAGAAAGGGTATTCAATCTTCCAGAATATTAATTTTCAGTCATATTTGATAAAACAACTAAAGTATATAATAATAGGCTAACATTAAAAGGAATTCGCCGGATTTGTTATTGAAAAGCGCATGGTACAAACAGTATCCCTTTGAATATTGAACGAAAATAAACTTCGTAATCGGAAAACTGATTTTTACTAAATATACCTTGTTTGTTCCTTAAAGTACTTCCATTATCCTTTTTTTTAAATATTGTTTAACATTTTCTGCCGATATTGACAATACTATCTAGCCAAAAAAAGCAAAATGATCCATATTTGCAGATGGTATTTTTTATGGCAACTGCAAAAGCTTCATTAGAAGGCTGCATCCTGACCTATATTATACTAATTGCAATTTAAAATGATGAAAAAATCCCTTGGTCTTTAAAGGATAAATCTGTTCTATTTTTGACATATAAATATTCAGACCTCAGGAATCCTTTAACTTTTATTGCAATTTTATCATTTTTGGAAGTTTTTTTTCAAGAAATGCAATTTTCTGTAAATATTGCACAATCAATATTTTAGTTTGCATTTGATTTGGAATTATGGTATTTTGTTTTATAAGATTCAGATAAGTTTTGGGGAAAAAATATCATACAAGTACCAGAAAAGTACATTTTGTTTAATTCTGGCAAAATTTACGAATTTTGAATTTTGACCTTTGACCTTGATTTAACGAAAATTGCACCGTACGAATTATTGACGACCGGGCAAAACAGAAACTACGGTTAATAAGCTTTCGAATTATATAAAATATAGCCGTATGTAAGGTGGGTGCATTAAAGTCGTTAACTAGGCGTCTTTTCTAAAACTGTCACTCGCCTATTATTTGGAGAATTGCGATTCAATGGTAGATTTTTTTTATCGTTTCTGTTCAATTTATTCACAATGTTTATATAAGGAGGCAACCATTTAACTTCAAAAAGGGGGGGGGGGGGGTATCGTTTCAAAATCTAACACTATAAGGTATGGGGGGAAAACCGTACTCTCCTTTTGAAGGTAAATGGTCGTTCCCTAAATTTGTGACGATTTAGAAATTGATATATTGTGAAGATACATATTTTTTGTTGAAAACTATACTATATGCTGCCCTCTAGTAGTCATTAGTTTGTTTTTGTCTTTTGATTGCTGTCTTATTGACGTATAATCTACATCTCATACCGTTTTAGTTCCGTTTGGTGTATTTTTAAATCCGTGTATGAAAAATCATAACTGAAAGGGTTATTGAGTATACATGTAGATTCAATGCCTTTCTTTCCCTTAATAATATGCTTAGAGAAAGATGAGCCAAGCCTAAATTAAAAATATTAAGTAGATAGATAAAAAAAAGTTTCACTTTTCAATATTTCACTCCCCCCCCCCCCCCCCCTCCCCCTCCATTTATTTTTTCTCTTTTTTATTTTTTTTTAAGATATGCCGCATCTAAACAGTTGATCTGCAGCTTATTCTCCTTCTCCCGCTGTTTTTGTACACAATTAAATGTGATCCTAATGAAATTCGATCGTAAAATAGTCACTAAAAAGGCATACATATTTAAATAGTCGTAATACATTCCATTATTATAATAATAATAATAATAATAATAATAAATTCTTTATTTAAAGAGGGTAACTCAATGTAAAGTAGAGTTTTCATTGAGGCCCTCAAACAAAATACATGTATACAGTTAACATTCATACATACATACATTAAAATACAATATATATATTACTAGTCTATACACAATTCAATCATTCAAACATACAAATGGCAATAAAAAATGGCAATAATTGGTAAAGTTTTGATTAAATTTTCTTATTCTTACAACAAAAGAAAGAAAACAAATTATTCGACTTGCATAGAATTTTCAAGAAAATGATTATAACAATGTTTCTTAAATAATTACACATTACGACAATTTTGTATTTTGAGTGGTAAATTATTCCATACCTTTGTTGCAGAATAATGAAAAGATTTTTTATAAAAATTTGTATTTGGTCTCGGAACAAATATATCATTATTAGAGACAGATCGTAAGTTGTGGTGTTGCACATCATTAATATTTAGCATTGCTAAGTAATCAGGTGTTAGTCCATTTACAATTTTATACAGATTCAGACTCAGATTCAATAGTTTATTAAAGTCTCACCACATACATACAAGTATAAACACATTATAATATCAAGTACACAATATAAAAATTTAGAATGCATGTGCCATTCTTAAAAGAACTATGAGAGACTGTTATATACAATTATAAAACAACAGAATTAAAACATAATTTTGTTATTTACACAAAACATAAAAGTGCAATATCACCATGCACATTCAAGGATAAAACCTGTTACATGAACATAAAAAAATAACAATGATGTTTTAACAGTATAAGATACTATTTAGTCGCAATAAAATATTATGGCAGGTTTTGGCAACAGAACTACAAACATTTTCATTTTTGAACAAAAATATAAATTTTTCATCATCTGACAAAGTTAAAAACATATTATTATGTTGAATTATATCAATAAATAAAGACTGCCTTAAATCTTCATATAATGGACATTGTTAACAGTACATGTTTTTTATCTTCTATATCATCACAATTGAAACATAATCTTTTATCTAAATCTAATCTTTCGTAACGACCAGTTTCAATTTTTAAAGGTGCTACTCCACATCTAAATTTCGCATATGCACTGCGATATCGAAAAGGTATATTTTGCAACAAATATTGTTCAGTAGAGTATGAAAATTTAAACAATTTATAAGTTCTCAACTTATTTCCTTGACCATAAGAATCAAGCCTTGTACTCCATTCAGTTTTATAATTATCAAAAATATTAACTTCTAACTGATAAATTATATTTTTATCCAGTATATAATCATCTACATTACAAAATCTGTCCATATTGTAAAGTTTTAACATATCTATAACTTTATAACTCCAATTTTTAATTTTATAACTGCTTTTTCTAATTGACCATATAAATACTTTATAATTTATCCTGTCTTTATCCATTTTTGTACATCTTGCCCAGTGTCTTAAAATGTTAGACCACTGTTTAACATATGGAGGCTTCCAACCATGTCACCTGAAACAGCATCATTGGGGGTATACTTTCCAACTCCCATATAAAATCTCATGGCTCGGTTCTGAACTGCTGAGATGCAGGATAACTCACTTGTACCCCAAATAGCTGAGCCGTAATTGATGACTGAC